AACTTATTGTTAAAGACTTCTTTAATTGAAAAAGAAGAATAGTCATGCAGAATGGGTCATTAATTTTGAATAAAACGTTCAATTTGTAAAGACTAATTTACAAATCATGAGTAATGGGACTGTACATTCAATAATTTTGATTAAAAACTTTCCATTTGTAAATACTATTTTTACTACTTTAAAAATTACCAAAAAAAAAAAAATTCAAAAATAGATAATAAACATTTGTTTTAATGGACTACCTAAGCTCTGACGTCACAATGGGCGGGGGTTTTTAAAAACCTTTCCAAATATTTTTAATTTGTGTGTATTTGTCCAAAAAGAAGTTGGAAATATTGGTTTTTTTAAATTGTTTGAAAGTCAAACTTGTCAAACCAAGTTGACCATATAAGGACCTTTGGTTATGAACCATCACCAATTCATCTAAAATCCTTCAAGAATTCAACGATAGCTGTATCAAAAACCTAGTTTGTAGTGTATTAGAAGATCCGAGAAAAATTGTATGACATCATTGTGAGAGTATGGCAACAACAGAAAATGCCTAGAGAATAAAATGGAAGCATTATAATTCCCATATATAAGAAAGGAAAGAAAGAACAATTCCGAAACTATAGAGGCATATCGCTTATTAGTAAATCATATAAAGTGCTATCAATTATCTTGCTAACAAGACTCACACCATATTCGGAAGATATTCTAGGTGACTACCAATGCGGCTTTCATGCTGGAAAGTCAATTATAGATCAGATATTTACCATCCGACAAATATTAGAGAAAAACTGGGAATTCAACCGCGATGTGCATCAAATTTTCATAGATTTCCAGCAAGCATATGATTCTATAAAAAGAAGCAAATTGTGGATAGCAATGTTAGAAATGGGAATACCAAGAAAATTAGTTGAATTACCGCAAATATGCGTGACAGACTCATATGCGCAAAAAAAGATAGGAAGCAGAACATCGATGCCATTTGGTATAAATTCAGGACTTCGGCATGAGGATCCCTTGTCACCGTTGCTGTTCAATTTTGCTTTAGAAAAATATCGTCTGAGCTGACAGGAAGATTTGCTGATCAAGGATGAAAACTATTGCTGGCCTTTGCTGATGATATAGATGCAGCCACGCATTCTACAAGAAACGTGAGAGAGGTGTTTTCACAGCTCGAGGAGGAAACAAGTAGTCTGGGTCTCCGAATAAATGAAAAAAAGAAGAAATACATAGTAGTAACCAAAAATCCAAAACCAAGAGTCAGGCAGAACATCAGAATTAATGATAACAACTTCGAAGTAGTAAAGGAGTTTAAATACCTGGGGGCAATAATCACAGCTGACAATCACATAGAAAAAGAGGTCTCAGCAAGGATAGCTGCGGGAAATAAAGCATTATACTCCCTTTTAACATTATTAAGATCGAAGCTGCTAAAAAGAAAATCTAAATTAACACTGTACATGTCGATTATTCTCCCAATTATTACATATGGCAGTGAAACATGGACTCTCAACCAGCGAGAAATCAATATTATTCTAGTATTTGAAAGAAATTTTCCCAGAATAATATTTGGGTCTCAAAGAGATGAATTCACAGGGGATTGGAGAAGACGCCGCAATACTGAATTGGTGACTCTGTATGAAACTGAAAACATAGATAGACATATCAAGGCAAACCGAAAAAGATGGGCAGGTCACGTGGTCCGATTAGAGGATCACAGAGTGTTAAGGTCAGTGTTTTTTGAAAGACCAGATGGTAGAAGATCAGTAGGCCGACCGAGAAAAAGATGGAAAGATGATATTGAAGCCGATTTATCTAGAATTAGGGTACAACAATGGGAAATAGAAGCTCAAGATCGCAGAAGATGGAGGGAGATAGCGGATGCGGCGAAGACTCACCCCGAGTTGTAAAGCCAGTAAAGAAGACGAAGAAGATACGAGAACATTTAAGAATGAAAAGTGACCGGATGAAGGCGTGATATGACATGCAAGATGACTGCATGATTTTTAAGAAAGAAAACTTAGTTTGGTTATATAAGCCAGCCAGTACGTTATAACGGAGATTGTCCCAAGCTACTAACGATGTTGTATACCATATCAGATGACCAGAATAGCCAGTGAAGATTGTACATTTGCATTGGAAGACCCTATATCGAGGAGACAGAGGACTGAGAAGGACGCCAGCGGACGGAGAGGGCAATGTAACGATTGCCTTGAACTAACCTAAACCGCGACATTCCAAGACACGTGTTGAATATTTGGTATCGCTGTGACAGCGGTAAATGGAACGATGTAAAAACCGCATAGCTTAAGAATAGTAAGACAATTCTAGAAATTTTTAAAATTACAAGAATATTCCAGACTAAATGATGGCTATATAAAGAACCCAGCATTACTAAAGGTCAAAATGAACCTGAACATTAGTTGAAGGTTATTTAAAGGTTACATAGAAGTTTTTTGGTAAAATTCAGTCGTATTTGAATTTTAGCTGAATACATGTTTTGATTTTAAATTCCAATAGTGTTTTTGAACAAACCCCACCCAACACTATATTAGACTTAAGGAATTTGAAGGGCATATATTAAGAAGAGAAAAACTGGAGGAAAGAAAATTGAAGGAAAAACAGCGTGACACTGAATTATCAATCTCCTTTGAGCTATAAAAACACAGTCCATTTCTGCATTTATTAAGCATCTAGTTAGTTTTCTACATTCACAAAAATAAAATGTTTTATAAATTAGTATAAAGTCTCTACTTCGTTACTGTTTACAAAGCACACAGTAAGAACTGGCGCCTTCATGGCAGCAACGTGTAAATATCTGGACAAGTTCCATATGACAGCGTGACATTTTAATTCTGCAAATACTATAAAGCCATTTGTATATTAAAATGAATAAATATTAGAAATAATCTTTTTTCCAAGAACCTGTATTTGTCTTTAATCGTATTTAAAATATTTCATTATCACCATCGTAAATCAACATTTTTTTATTTACTAGAAGTATTATGAATAGGCTAATCACATTACTTATTTTTTGACGTATGTATTATATGCTCGTTAATTTTTTTGCACTGTTTGTTACGTTTAAATAGATACATTTACGATAATAAATCGATTAGTACCTTACAAAGAAACTATATTTTTAGCAACTGTAAAAAAATTTATAATGAAAAAACCATATAATAGAATATAAAAAAACCGAGATAATATAAAGGGTGTTTGTTTTAAAGGTAGAGTACTCTGAAATGATATAAAACAAAGATGATTTTTATTAATTGACGTAAAATTGACTTTACTGGAAAGATAATTTTTTAGCATTATAATTTAAATATCTTTCTGGTGTATGACCGTCATGGCTGGCTTTGACGTACTCTAATTTGGAGGTCCAATTTTCGATAACTTTTTCCAATTTTTGTCGGCGTATATGTACGCCTGGTACGTCGTATTATCTCAGTTTCATCAGCGTATGCTAAGATTTGTATTGATCTATTCTAAACAGTACCGCCGTCTCTAATTCGTGTGTCCCGGTCATTGCTAAAAAGGAGGCAATCCAGGAAATCCCCTATTTGAGTCCATCCTTTATCTTTTAATAAGTTAGACATTTTCATTCTCGTTAATCGGTTTTTCTGGTATACCAAACTCAGGCATTGATTGGTATAGTACTATTTTCTTGACACTGTCGTATGCGGCCTTGAAGTCGTCGAATAGGTGATGGGTTTATTATTTAATGTTAAATTCTAATGTTTTCTCGAGGATCTGTCTTATTGAATGAATTTGGTTAATTGTTGATTTTTCCGGACTAAATCCGGTCTGGTATTTTCCAACTATGCCAACTGTGTAAACTTGTAGGCTTTCGTAGAGAATATTTGCTAGTATTTTGTAAACAGTTGTTAACAGGGTTATATTTCTGCAGTTGTCACACTGGAGCTGATCGCCTTTTTTATGTAACGGGCATATCACGCCTTCAGACCATTCACAGGGCATGGTCTCATTTTACCAGACAACAAGTAAAAGTTTATGCAATGCAATACTTGTAGCAGGGTGTCGCCACCATTTTTGTAGAGCTCACTACAAAATTGATCAGTTCCTGGTGCTTTATTATTTTTAAGCTTTTTAATGGTTTGAGCAACCTCTTCGGTGGTAGTTGGTCTTTCGTTTGGGTTAAATAAATTCCAATCATTTTGATCGGCTACGGTGTTATCAAAATACAATCCATCGATTCAAGATTGAGGCCGTATCACTTTTGAGTTTCGTTTTGATTTCTTAGCCATTCTATGTTTTCTAACGACTTTTCATCAAATTGCCTCATTTTCTTCTATGTAAACTTTTTTCTTCCCTTCTTAGAATCCGGTATTCCTCCTTTGCTCTTCTTGTGCATCTAGCTTCATTTGTCTTTAGGTATACTCATTTTTTTTATCTGTTGCTTCTTGGCACTCCTCGTCAAATCATTCGTTTTGTCTAACTGGTTTGGTTTTCCCCAATATTTCTGATGCCTTCACAGTTATTATATTTCTACATTTTGTCCACAGTTCCTCCACATTTTCATCCGCTTCCAGGCTCTCTATTTCCAATGCTTTGGTAAAAAGTTTTTTCGAGTATAAATTGACTTACCCATTTTTGTAGTTATATTATTGTACGTTATATGTGACGTCTGATAACAATACAAGCTTTCGATGTCGCCAAATTAAAAATCAATATAGTTAGCAATACTTTAAAATACCTAAAGTGATTAAAACCTTGACATCAACTTTATTAGACAGAGAGACAGATTTACAGTCAGACAATCAGACAGACATACAGGCACATATACATACAGACAAATAGACAGACAGACTGACACAGACAGTCTGAGAGAGATAGACAGACAAATTTAAGTAAAGTAAAATATTATGCAAATTAGAAAAGCTAAAAGTGAGCGTCGCTTTGTGTGCAAATAAGAGATGACGTATTAGTAAATAGAAAACAAATTTCTTCTTAAATTCGTACAAATACCTCCAAATTTATATACCTACCACTACTAGAATGCCTTTTGAATCTAAGCTTAAGCTGGCTGGGATCCGTGACGTATTTATCGTTTTGCCTACGTCGTCGCAGTCCTGGCGTCAAGTCGCCCGACCAAGACATGCATTTGGCTAAACGTTGACCACTAACAGCTACTGGAATTTTTGAGAGTCGACCCTCCATCGCAGGACTTACCTGGAACGAACGAAAAATAGTCATCACCTCGTTGTATTTTTTTGAGAGACGTAAAGTATAAAGAAATGTCGGTAGTTCTTCGGCATGCTTGTAGGGGTTTCCTTAATTTCATAAAATAACATTTAAATACAGAAAACTATCAAAGAGAAAGTTTTATCCTCTTCGCCGTATCCTAAAAGCTCCTTATTTGCTTTATCTTCTAGAATACCAACTTTATTTTAAATGGTACCGACCACAAGAAAAATCATGTGTAAGAATATACGACCATCGATTTTTTTGATAATTTTCAACAAATATAAAAGCATAAACAACATCAGTACAGCTAGCTTGTGGTCTGTGCTGCCTCTTCAGCTGTGAGAGGTGAATATAGTCAACACAACGTCTTCTTAACGCATTCTAGACCATAAAATTAATTATAAGTTCGAAATATTATAAACTAGCATTAAAAGCTCTGAGACTACAGCAAGCAAAAAGAAGGTAACACCTTCTAAGGACTTTATTATAAAAATATCAGAGCGTTCAAGCGATAAGAGGTTATGACATTATGTCGAGTTAAAAAGCAGAGCTGAAACAATTATTTTGGACCACTCCATGACGTATTGTTAAACAAAAAGCTTAAACGTTTACTTTTATTTGAAATAATTCGTTTTCTCGTAAGTTGTGGATAAACGATCATTACATCAATGGCTTATTTAATGGCATCAATAACTTCACTTTTTTTAAATGTTTTGTTAGCATGCAAATTGATATTAAGTTAAAAATAAGTTATAGTATGAAATTAGCTGTTTTATTTACTGTTATATTAGTGTTGTTTACACAACCATAAATAAACAATAAGAAAAAGTCACAAGTTAACGTCCTAACCCATACGTAACACGTCCTGCACAAGTAAATGTCAATTTGAATTAGATCAAACAAAACTTAAAATATTGCCCCATCGTTTTAGCTGGTTCATTGCTAAAATTTAGAAATTCACCAAAAATTGATAAGTATATAAAAATTCTGTCTCTTCACAGCAAAAAATGGCTTCACTTTTTGAACATATAAGTCTTAGGTCTTACCTGAGAGGAATACTACTACTTTTAGTAAATACAATAGAAAATATATTGTATATACAGGGTAGGCCTCTCAAAAGAGTTTTGGCGCCAATCCGTATCCACGGCCTATGGCCAGTGGAAACCACTGTCATCTTGGTGCCTTAAGGTCGATTCAGACACATCAGTCACGTTTCGTCACAGTCCTGGCGCCGAACCGAACAATCCGTCATACAAAATATTCTATAGAAATATGGCGCCGGCATTCACATTCATCAGGCGACGAACAGTTTCCCAGCTGTCAGATAATTAATTGTTCTGTGACCAAACAGGACCGGTTCTTCGCCGAGACTGTGACGGGACTGATGTGTCTGAATCGACCTTAAGTCGTTGGCTAATATCCACCCTGATGCGCATCGCCCCGCCTTTAAACATCTTTTGATTTTTCTATTGGCCGAGAGATCTGAAAATTAAAATACTTATAAATATGCGACATTTTTCTGGTCTCGGCTCCCAAATAGGGTCTCTGCACCCTGGGAGTCCGACATCGGGGCTTTGTTCCGGTTCTCCGAACGTTTTTAGACTCTGTGGCTGGACCTTGTCTACCTGTCGCCCTTGTGTTTCATTTATTCCTTGTGCGAGACATAGTAATTATCAACCAAAATGGAAGATACGCATACGATTCGAATAGACTGGTCGAAAACCCTCTGTAAGGCACCGTGGGAATGTATAAGTAGCTATACTTTGACAAGCCCCTACTTTCCATATATAGATACAGATACCACTGCCTCACAGTCTTTTGCAGCCTCGATTACATTATCTTTGAGATAGATCCAAGTGCTCTCAGGGTCACTGTCTACTTGGTCTGAAGAAAGAGCTTCTTTTAGGTTGTGTTGGAAGTAATTGATTTTTGAAGAATTTAGAGAAATTATGTTACTTATAGGGATTTTCTTTTGGGAACTTTAAAACGAAGTCGAACGTTCAATACCAGGAGTTGATGATCACTTCTACAGTCTGCGCCAGGATATGTTTTACAGTTGATGTCCGACGACTTCCATCTTGATCTTATTAGTCTATTTGATTTCTTGTTCGTCCATCTGGTCTGTGTTTGTTTGTAATTGTAAGATTTTTTCTTTACAGAACTCCACTAGACAGTCGTCATTCTCATTTCTCTGTCCCAGTCTATTTTTGCCCAACACTCCTTCAATATTTTCATTAGATGACCCTTTTGGCGTTACAGTTTCCGAAAATTATGATTAGTTCACAATTCAGAATAGCGCTAACAGTTTCTTCTAGAGGACCAGAAGCTGTTGAAGGTTTGGGCAAGTACAGTTGTTTAAATAATCGCTCTCCGGAATAAACAAATTGAATAACTCACAAACTATTTGGTCGATCTAACTATTCAAAAGTTATTCGAGTTATTCAAAAAAAAAACAAAGTTATTAACATTCATAAATTACTGCAAAATATGGGTTTTTGCAATTATCTCGGTCAATTGTTCATGTATTTTGATTTTAAACTAAAGAACTTTTTAAGATCTACAACTTTTATTTGGACCAATTTTCTCCAAAATTTATCTTCTTCTTCTTCTTAGTCGTTAACCTGATGCAGGTATCGTGATATCATGAAGCTGTTAGGTAATTTTTCCAATGTTCCTCGACGTTTTTCTATCTTCTGCCAATCTAGCACATTCTGATAATGGAGCGCCAATGGTAGCAACAATATGGTCCGTGTATCGTGTAGGGGATCTACCTCTACTTCTTTTGCCTTCTACTTTTCCCTGGATGGTAAGTTTTTCAAGACCATTTCTTCGAAGCACATGTCCAAAATAGCTTATTATCTGTTCTGTTATTTGTGTTCTTAGTCTTTTCTTTATGTTTAGCTGAACCAGTATGGATTCATTTGTTCTTCGGGCCACCCATGGTATTCTCAGCATTCGTCTCCAGCAGTACATCTCAAATACATCTATGTTCTTTTTGTCTTTCTCAGTAAGGGTCCAGCATTCCGATGCATAAGTAAAAACTGGAAAAACTAGACTTCTTACTACTCTCATTTTTGTATCGATAGTAATTTCATGGCTTTTCCAAATTTTTGTTAATTTTGCCATAGCGCTTTTTGCGATTGCTGACCGCCGCTTTATTTCTTCAGTACAGCCTCCTTTGTTGGTTATTAATGAGCCCAGATACACAAATTTATCTACAACAGCGATATTGTTTATCCTAACCAGATGATTTTGATTGTTGTTAGCTCTGTCAATTATCATGATTCTCGTTTTATCCCTGTTTATTTTAAGGCCCATCGTTAAGCTTACGTCTTCTATCCGTTGTAGCAGGTGAATCAATTCATTTTCAGAACTAGCGAGGATAGTAGTATCATCTGCATATCTCAAGTTGCAAATCTTCTTCCCGCCAATGGTGATGCCACCGTTCCAGTCCTCAGTAGCTTTCCGCATTATCCATTCACCATAGATGTTAAATAAAATTGGGCTTAGTATGCAGCCTTGTCTCACGCCCTTTGTGACCCTGAAACTGTCAGTTAGTTCCCCATTTATTCTAACTCTGGCATAATTGTTATTGTACAGGCTTTTAATTAGCAGTATCAGATGAATAGGGACTCCCATTTCAGACAAAACCTGCCACATTTTACTCCAGTTGACCAAATCGAAAGCTTTACTATAATCTATGAAGCACAAATATGTTGTGATGTTGAATTCTCTGGATTTTTCTACAATCTGCCGTACATTTAAAATTTGTTCTCTAGTACCACGTCCTGGGACGAAACCTGCTTGTTCCTCCGCAATGTTAGGTAGTAAAAAGGGCTTTATCCTCTCGAGAATTATGTGTAAGAGTATCTTACTGCAATGCGCAATTAGAGCAATTGTGCGATAGTTGCTACATAAATCTTTCGCTCCCTTTTTATGTATGGGAATGTATAGTGATTGTGTCCAGTCCTCAGGCCATTTACCCGTCTCCCACACTCTTTGACAAATTTAATGTATTATATCCACTCCAACGTCATCTAGGGCCCAAATCATTTCAATAGGTATGTTATCTGGACCGGCAGCTTTTTGACTTTTTGCCTCATAATTGCTGCTTCAACTTCACTTTTGAGTACGTCAGGTTCCGTCGCAAAACTGGCATCTTCTTGTTGTGATGGGGCGTCTGTGCTTTCCTCCATCATCAGTCGTCCACAGTATTCTTTCCATCTGTGTAAAATATCTTTTTTAGAAGTGAGTAGAGTTCCGTTATCATCTTTGATAGCAGGGTAGTTTGGTGTAAAGGAACGTGTTATCTGCTTTATTTTTTTAAACATGTCTCTGGTCTCAGTTTTGGTTTTATGCCCTTCTATTTCCATGCAGATTTTGTTCAAGTGTGTGTTCTTGTCCTTTTTGCAGAGTCGTTTTATTTGACCGTTCAGCGCTTTATAGGCCTCTTTATCACTTTCACTGTTCAGTCCTGTGGCTTTTAAGCACTTCCTCTCCTGTATTTTAGTCCACGTGGAGTCCGTTATCCATTGTTTCCTTCTTTCTTCTCTATCACTCTTAGTATTTTTCGCAGCATTATGCAATATGGATTTTGTTTTTGTCCATATGCTGTTTGAGCACTCGTCTGGATTTAATGATTGTTTGAGGTCACATAGCTTTTGCATTGCGGCTTTTTTGTACGGATCATTATATCTTAGATGCCATTTAGTTGTTGTATTTCCTGTTTTTGGACTGTTTCTTAACTTCATGCGGAATTCAGCTGATAAAAATTGATGGTCGCTATTACAATCTTTTCCTGGATAGATCTTAACATCCTTAACAGCGCTCCTCCAACGGGTTTTTACCAGTATAAAATCTATCTGATTTCTGTATCTATTTTCTGGTGATATCCAAGTGTATAGTCGTCTTGGGTGATGTTGAAAGCCATTAACATTCATAAATTACTACAAAATTGGGTTTTTTCAATTATCTCGGTCAATTGT